CAAAACCCCAAAACCCCAAAACCCCAAAACCCCAAAACCCCATGAGAAAATATTGTATGCCGATGGAAATTAGATATAAGAATAATATAAATTTGATTTCAAATTAATGTAAGTATTTCAGAAAATAGATCTTTCTAAGAATTATCACATTTTATAAATAATAAGCTGATTCCTTACTTAAATAGTATTTAAAGTTGACCAGTAAACCTCACCAATGGATTACAAACAAAGAGTTTAAAATAAAGGAAGCAAACTGCCAAAGTTAGGTGAAAATGATAAAGTAAGCGTTAAAAGTTCATTTTACATTTAGAAGTAAAATTAGAATGGTAAAGTTGAAGCAATTACTCTAAATAACCCGCAAGCCAAGAATATCTTATATCAGAATTCTTAAAATCAAGAGGACCTTACTGATAGAATAAATGGTAAGTGAGCGAAGGCATTCACATTTAATTTTAGATTATTTATTTTCTTTTTAGGAAACCTGCGTTATAATGAAAATCAAAATGATAATCTTGATATGATGAGTGATCACCTCGCTTCACCACTCAGATAATATTCTCATCAATAGCCAATCACAACATAGCTTCATAGTAATGAAGTTTTCTTGAAAAATGCCTCTAATATGGTTGAAGTTGTGAACAAAGAGCAACCTAGTTTTGCAATGAGAATGAAAAAGAATAAAGAAATCAATCAATCATATAATCTATCTGAGCCGGACAATAAACTATATCAGGCTAATCCATTTCCTGGACTTGTTGGTCAGGATTAAAATACAAGTTAATTAATAGAAGACTAAAAATAAGAGATATCTAAATTAGCATCTCCTAATATAAGAAATAGAAATAGTGTCCATTAATCATCTTAAGTTTTAAGATAGTCCGTTGAGAAATAAAGAGCTAACAATTTTGGTAACGTATCAAAATAAATATTGAATAATAAGGCATCAGCAATAACATCAATTTAAAACGTTTAACAATAACCAACTATCAACATCAGTAATCAAAAATTAGAAAGATAAAATAGCTATGTAAATAAAATTGAATAATAGCAAAATCAACCAAATCAACCAATAAAGTCAAGTGGAAGAGTAAGAGCCTCGTCTGTAAGTAACAATAACCCTAAACCATAAACCACTTAAAATACCAATTAAAGCCACCCGCCTAGAAATCTCATACCCCCAAAGGCATTATAAAAAGAAAAAAGTCCAAGAGTTAGTGGATAAGGATAAGTTTAACAAAATTAATAGCAGCATTAATCTGACAACCTCTTTGATATGTATGGGCAAAATTTAAAGTAGTTATAATAATAAGCAGAAAGTATGAACATGGTTAGTTAATACAATTCTTAGTTTCCATTTATGTTAAATCCTCCAAATAACAATTAACAGTTAACTTAAGAGTAATTGCATTAGTAAATATTGATGATGTAGCACTAGATGTAACTTTTATAGTAGCAATAGTAGCTAATGATGTTAAATCCTTAGGCAGTTTAAATTTCATAGCATAATGGATAGAATAATTATTAATAGAACTAATAAATGTCAAACTAAGTAAAGTAAAATCCAGATATTTACAAATAAATTGAGCAAGCTGATAAGCACTACAAAGATTAGCGAAAATAGGATGAAAATTAGCATTAAATATCAAAGGATGGACAAACCTCTACATATAAGCCTTATTCAGTTAAGGATTACAAATAGATGTAGCAAACTTCACAATCAATGAAATTGGGTGGTCTTGGAGCTAATATTGGTTCTCAAGAATGGGAAAATGCTAAGAAAAAGTAAGAATAAGCGCAAGAATTTGCAAAGTAAGTAAAGTTGCAAAATCAATAGAAACCATAAACAAGTCAGTCAAGTAAGAAAAAGGAAGAAAAACCTAAAGAGAAGACATCAAGAGAAAAGGCTTTGGAATTCGCTAAAAATAACGTTCCTAAGCCAAAAGTTAAGAGTGAGAGCTCAACTTCCTCGAATCAAGGAGAACCAAAAGAGAATAACAACAACAAGAAACTAAGTGAAGATCTTGATGGAATTGAAGAAGAAAATGTAGACTATGATGAACTTGGCAATACAATCGGCATGAGATATCAAAGAGGGAACGAGTTTGAAATGCTAAATCAAAAGCATGATGAATATGCAAGTGAAATAGAAAAAATTAAATAAATGATTATGTGAATATGAAATCAAATTTTTTAAGTACTAAATCTAATTCTATTTTGGAGTTTGGGGTTTTGGGGTTTTGGGGTTTTGGGG